TGATCCTCTTATCCAGGTTATTGATAAAGATATTGAACAGGGCTGGCCCCAATACTGAGCCCTGGGGAACACCACCGGTGACCAGCTGCCAGCTGGATGTAACTGCGTTCACTACCACTGGGCCCAGCCATCCAGACAGATTTCACCCAGTGAAGAGTGCACCCATCCATACCATGGGAAGCCAGTTCCTTCAGGAGAATGTTGTGGGAAATGATGCCAAAGGATTTACTAAAGTCCAGGCAGACAACATCCACAGCCTTACCCTCATCTACAAAGTGGGTCACCTTGTCATAGAAGGAGATCAGGTTGGTCAAGCAGGACCTGCCTTTCACAAACACATGCTGGCTTGGGCTGATCCCTTGGTTGTTCTGTATGTCCTGTATGATGGCACTGATGATGATCTGCGCCATGACCTTCCACAAGGTCAGGCTAGCAAGCCTGTAGTTCCCTGGATACTCCTTCTGGTGCTTCTTGTAGAACCAGCCCAGGTGGAAGATGCAGAGCTGAGCTGACCCAGGGTAAACAAGAGCTGGTCTGATCCAGGGTTAGCAATTTGGCAGTTGGATCACATGGCCTACAAAGTTCCCCTCTGACCAAATTCCTGTGATAAACTAATGAAAATGTTTGCTCATTCTCTTGTGAAAGGTGTTTATACATTAGTGTTCGGAGAGATTTTATTCAGAGATAAACTTTATAACTTTCCTAGAAGCACGGAGAATCTTGTTTCTTGCCCATTCAGAACCCCCCCCCCCACTGTATTTTGCAGAAATACTTGTAGGAACAAAGTCTGATTAACTTCTAGCATATTAGCAAATTAGTAGAGTGGAATACTTAATTCAAGCAATTCTTTCTCTCCCTCCTTCCTCCCCCCACCCCTAATGCACTCATGGCAGTCTCAGTTTCAAACATAAGATAAATGCACTTCACTCAATTAGGTGTTCGTGAAACTTAAGATTCCACTTAAGCAAGAGTTATGTTATTCCCTCAGGCCTAGGAAACACATCAGGCAAATCTTATCTAGAACAGTGAAAATCCTATTGCACACCCTTAGCATCAGTTTGCAGTTTGACTATAGCACCAGCTGTAATGAAAAGCAAATAAAAAGCTGCCCATTAAAAAAAAAAAAGTTAGTTTCCCAAACTCTCACAATACATAGTTTTATATATTTGTGTTGGGGAGTCTCTTTCCCTGGAGATATTCAAAAGGCATCTGGACATGGTCCTGGGCAACTGGCTGTTGTGACTCTGCTTGAAAAGGGAGGTTGGACCAATGACCTCCAGAGGTCCCTTCCAATCTCAAACATTCTCTGATTCTGTGAAGCACAGTTTAATAGACAACAGAATCAGGTTTTGCAACACTGAGACTTTAATTATATTTTGGAGTTTGTGAGACTAATTTTAATTTACTCAGTTTCCCCACCATTCTGTACTGTTTATAACTTATCCTCAGCACTGGAGAGAATGGACTGATTTATACACAATGTTTTGACTGGACCTACTCCACTCTGTCTGCTTCAGAAAGCCACTGGGACTAGAGGACTAGACTAAAGGACTAGACCCCATTCTTAGATAGTGATCCTTCAAGGAATGAGGGTCACAAGAACCACAGACACAGAACTTGCTTTTAAGAGTAAAAGCAGTGCTCACAGCAAGCTACAGTGAGACAAAAGTGTGATTCACTGAAGATATGCAGGTGGAATTAAATTTGCTAGAAATGGTTATTGCTGCTGAGATAAGTGTATCATAATTTTCAGAAAGGAATGGAGCTGTTTGCAATTCAAAGGCACTACTAAATGTGACTTTGTTCTAAAAAAGTTGTTTTAACTGTCTATACTCTAACCTTGTTTCATTTTCCAACAGTGGAGTCCCCACCTCAGAATGGATTTATATGAAGAGTTAAGCACCTCTGACACTGACAGAGCAAAGATGCAAACCATTGGTCAAAGTACTTAGGACAGTAGTTACTACATCCTTAACTTGGTTCCCACGTCTAATTGCACAAAGACCTCAAGGAGGCCAGGTGAAGGTTAGTTTCAAAACAAAGATGTTCAGAAACTAGGTAGTTCCCTTGGAGTGCAGCAAGAAAGCTTCAGGAGAAGAGACCCAAGACCTGCATTTTGCTGCATAATGTAACACTAGATGAGGAGGTGAGACACCTAGGATTGAATATATGAACTGTCTCTCTGGGTGGTCAGGGCTATTCATGTCCTTCTTCCTCTTCTTGGGGAAGAAGTCAAACTGCAGTTCAGCATACAAAGGGAAAAACAAGGTTTGCATAGAGAAAGATGCATAAGAGAGACATAGAGGTATCTTTGTGTAATGCACAGTACGGTTGGTTATATTGAAACATTCACAATTTAACTAAAATATAAATTGACAAGGTTTACAAAATAGAGGGGAAAAGGTCAGAGGTGGACTTAAGTTAGAATTAAAATTCTCTTTCAGTGCAGCAATTTTGTCAAGCTGAAGTTGCCCATGGGTGGTTTTACTGTGTAGAGGAATTGCTTTAGATAAATGCTCCTTAATTCAGGTAGACAAAAATTAAAAAGATGCTAGAAGCAATCTTTTCTGAAGGGACATCCTGAATTATCTCTTATTGTTCTTGGCATAAATGCCATTTGTTCTTTTCTCAGGTATTCTGAATAGCTGAGGGTCACCTAATTTTATGAAGGGGTTTATGTAATTTACAACTATAGCAAAAATGAGAAAAAGTCTTGAGAGTTTGAATTTTCCTGTGTTACTTAAACTGAATCTAAAATTTCAGATGTAAATCTTATCACTTCCTCTGTTTGTAAAACTCACCTGCATCAACAGTGGCAACACTGTCATCAACATGGAAACACTGTCAGTGCTCAGGACCAGTCAGACCCTCACTGGGAATGCTCTCTATCAGCATGCCCACCAGATATGCCACAAACACAGTTTTTTTATGCTGAAACAGATGCATTGTAAATGCCATAGATTAGAGCTTATTTAACAATTTTGAGGCAAAACCAAGGAACAATAAACACTATTTGTTCCTTTTTCTCAGGAGGAGAATAAGACTGCTTCTTTGTAAATGACTTACAAGCATCCCAAGAAAGCATTAGAGGACATGTGATCCCATGTTTTTCTTACTTCACACAAGTTCCCTCCTTTCTCTGTGTTTCTCAAAGTTCATTGCTGATGAACCAGGAAATAGATGAGAAAGAGCAGTAAATGCAGATTAAATTAATAGATTAAATAGATTAATTAAAAATAAAATAATAGATTGGTAAATGAAAACTTTTTTCTTCTTCCTCAGAAACTTTTCTTCAGAGGAATTTGGGTGAATTGATGAGAAGTCCTTCTAGACACAAGATTTTGGCAGAAGTCATGATCTGTAGGACCAAGTAGAATTCAGTAGGATTGAAACTGGAAGGACTGATTTCTGATCCTGTCCTGGTATGTCTGAGAAATTAGTGAAATCCAAACAATGGTTTGCTTAGATTCTCCTCCTATTCTGTTTCAGATTTATCCTGAAAAGGGGAAAAATCTATGCTGATGGGAGAATTCATCAGAATTCTTAATTTCAATTTTGCAGAACTTAATTTTTTTCTTCTGTCTAAGAAAGAATGAAGCCCCTACAGATGTAATTAAAAAAAATTAAATATATAAAAGTAGGATATTTTCTTTGTCTACATTTTTTCTCTGCGGTATAGTATAAGAAAAACACCAAAAAACCCTGACATTTGTGTAACCCTGGAGATGTCAATAGCATTTCACAGTTCTCGTATAACACAGAATTTCATTGAAAATGTTTTACTGAAATGATGCCAGGATGCCTGTATCTAAAACCATATTTTTAAAAGTTTTTTGATTACTCTATCTGTAACAGTTATGCCTGTAAAATCAAGGTACAATCCCATAACTGAAAAAAATGCTTACAAATAGAGCTCTAAGATTTGTTAAAATTGAATACTTATAGTACTGCATTTACATTTATGAACAATATTTTTATACTGAACAGTCATTTGAATTAGTAATTTTATGTTTTCATTACATGGATTTAAAGACAGAAAAAGTTTCACAATAATTTCTATAGTTCTCCCTGTTCTGTATTCTGATAGAGCTTAAAAAAGAACTAATATTTCTCAAATGGCATGTATTCAAGAAACTTCATAATTCAGAAATCACACTGAACTTCTAGTTCACTGCTCCTCCCAAAACACTGCCTTACTTAATCTGTACTTTTCAGCAAAGTTATTCCTGTTTATACTGTGCACTTACCTGGGACCTCTCATTGACAATACTCTGGAGATCCACCTGCTTTGCTGAGAATTTAAATACGAAAAGAATGATCTATTAAGTGTTGGCATTGCTAATGCACCTTATATCAAGAAAAGCCATTTTAATGTAAAACCAACAGCAGCATGAAAAACTGCAGCATGGTGTTACCTATATGATAACTTCAGACATGGGCCTTGGAAACTCAGACTGGCATTATTCACTTATGGTACTGAGTACTTACTTGATATAGAATACCAAAAGGAGTGATCATTATTAAAACATTCAGGAAATCCTTCTACAGAAGTCACAGTTCTGAAATCTTCTTCTTTATCCATTTGGTACTTGGAATATCATTGGCGTAGTCTATGCTTTCTAGTGTGCAATCCCTGTGAATGTTTATGTGCATATATTTGCCAGAACCAGGTTAGAATTCTTTAGGCAAAATAACATCACTTATGAAGGGGCATGTTTTAGTTAATTTAGAAGGAAGAAGTGAAATGAGCTGAAATATGATCTTTCTGCATGACACAGAATTCAAATACATACCGAAGAAGAAAAATCTCTCTCTTATTGCTGTTTAAACATATAATCAAGCCAGAGAAAAGAGCAATTTATTTTTGATAATGAAAGCAATAGATGTACTACAAGGGGATACACTTATTAATACTATACATCCAGTAACATTTGTGAAAAACAAGGTTATGAGAAATCAGACGACAGTCAAAACAATACCAAATCACATCTGACTCTTACCTCAGAATTTTATTGATTGCCGTCTCTTTTTCCAGAAGATTTCTTGCTCTGATGCTGAAAACAGATTTACGGAGCTATAAAATTAAGAAAAAGACAGCGTACTTTTTAATTGTCGTAAAATATAGCGTCTATGTGACAGACCAATGAAACATTATGATATTGAGTGCATTAAAGAGTAAAATTAAAGACATGAAGTTCTCTATGATAAAGCTATTTTTCACAGTCTGCATCATGAGTGTTCTTTTCCAGGAAAAAGATGGCAGAAAAACTCAAAATGTTTACATAGAGCAAATTCCTTGAGAAATACCTAAGATCCTAGCCTTATCTTGCAGCTTTTGGCCTCTCTACCCCAATCTTTAGGTAGTTCTGTGTAGAAAGAAGCAGATAGTTTTGTTGACTAGCACAAATGTTATTTCCTTTATTACACATTTCTTCTCCAGTTGGCCAAGTCATGCCTTTTTGCTACTCATTCTCCACTTTGGATTTTGACTAGGCTGGATTGTACTCTGGAGATGCCTTGACTATACAAAAGAGCCAGCTAACAAAGCTTAGATATATAATTTAAGTGCATAGAACTAGATAAGATAAAAGTAGGCCCCTTTTTTCCCCCACAGATGTAGAGCAAAAAAGTGTGGTGAGCAAAATGTGCTTGTGATTGCCTCTGGTCATGAACAGTGTTTCGGGCATATTCTTGTGAACAGGACTTCCTGAATGGGAAATGAAAGGACTGAGAGACATGAAAAAACAAGCACTTACTTACTAAGCAAGTGATTAACAAATAGGGCAACTCAAGGAACAAATAACAGCTGAAGAATTTAGGTCAGGAATTACACCTGTGACGAACAGAAAGCCCCTGGCTTAAATCTGTCAACTGTTTGGAGATTGTTATCGTGAAGAAAATGATTGAGAGAGATTTGGAAACTCCTAGCAATGTTTGCCCTGTTTTTGATCAATCTGAAATGGAATATTTAAGCACATTACTTTAAATCTTCTTTACATGTTTCTAAAACACTACCTCCAGTCATTTGACAAATAATTTTTCTAGAACTTCTCTCAAGTCACAGTTAGATATCTTACTTTGAAGAGAAACAGAAGCCTAGAAAATATTAAACTTTTAAATTGTACCGGCTGTACTTAATAAAATGGCTACTGCTTTTAACCCACACCTGCAAGTTACAATCTCATTCCTACCCCTTGTCTTCTCAAGCATGGCCCCTTTAACCTTTTTCATGCTCTAACCCATCTCTGTACAGCCTGTGGAAGTAAGAACACAGATTATTTGAAAACACCCCTATTTTGAGAGTCTGTGGCTTCCTTAAAAAACCTGCAACTTGAAAACTGAAATAAAGTATAAAACACTTGAGAAGGTAGTTTGGAAAATAAGGTATTGGATTTTCAATTAAGATTAAAAAATTAGTAATAGGCTTGTTGAATGTAAACAAAAAAATGATTCCATTCCCTGGATATGGTTCCCATAAACATAAATTGAAAATCAATGTATGAGATACACCTGTTGAGGAATGTATTTAGTGCAGGTAGTTCAGTGTGAAGCTGCAGATTGAGCTCTGTCTGGGTGATGAGAGCCTGAGACAAGACGCTGTGAACTGTTGACCCTTTGCCTAACAAAGGGTACAGGGACCTGTGGCCCATCCAGGGGACCAGACACTCAGCGACACAGCAGGAGCTGAGGACCCCTAGACTTCTCTGTCCTTAGACTGTTAGGGTATAAAACCCCAGGGGTCCCTTTGTTGAGGATCCCTCCTCAGAGACACCAGTACGAGCTGTTATTTTGTTATTTAGTTATTACGCCATCATAAAATTATTTTAAGGATCTGTATGTCTGAGACTCTGCTATGGGAAACCTGGGGTCGAGGTGGTCAGGAAACCTGGTCTCACTGTGAGTGTGAGGGGTGTAGCTGTGAAGGGGCCTCGGTCCCAGCTCAGATGGTGCCAGAGTCTGACTGCCAGAGTGGCTCCTGGATGGTCAGACAGGGAAGTTTCCTTAATATACCATTATAATAAATGTTGTGTAGGTATAAATACTTCATATACTGAAACATATTTGTGTAGGTTTTAACTCATTTGCAGTATCTCAACACAGGTTTAGTGGATTTATAAGCAAGGTACTTTATTATGGATTTAGATATAACTAACAGTGCTGAAAGCACTAGCAACTCTTTCACATATTTTTTTTTCTTCTAATGTCAGTGAAATTAATGTCAGTGGAATCCCATAAAACTGTTTTTGCCCACTTGAGGATTGCAGAAAGAAGCCTCCAAACCACAGGAGTATCTATTTTACAAGATGTTACATAATAATTCTTTTAGGGCTCAACTAGGAACATCAAACTTATGGGAATAAGAAAAGTGGAAAACCAGCAGTTTTGTTTCAGTTGTTTTTTCCTGTTATAAATAATTGCTTTATAATAATTGCAATTACATTAAATATCAGAGAAAAAAAGTGTGCTGCCTACTAATGTGTTATGTCCATTTATTTCTAATAAAAATTCTTGTTAACATCTTAGAAATCGAAAAGATTTTAAAAACAGGAAGCATTAATTTCCTTCCCAATTTCCAGTTTTTGCTCATCTAATTTTGGCAAAAAAGCTGAGGCAAATACATTTTCCTGAAATTGTCTACAGTTCCTATCTGGCACAGGCCACTTTTCAGTGTTTAAAGTAGGTGACAAAACACCTTGGCATTAAAGCTTGTGGCCCAAGCAAGGAAATTCACCCAGGTCGTCAGCAAGAGAACATGCCCTAGAAAAGCAGAAGTGGGGAGTCTACATATTTTCAGACTACAAAAGGATGTTGAGTGCTTGAACTGATTCACTTAGTGCTTCCCCAAGCCAAGTATTAAACCAGCTAGTGCCAGCAAGGAAAAAAGAACACCTCAAGAAAAGGTGCTGTCAGGTCTAGGGCAAGGGCTACTTACATACTATCAGGAACTGTCGAATCCTCCCTCTAGGTAGCAAGACTAAGAAGGAAACAGTGGGGTATGTTTTGCATAAAAGCATAGCACTAAACCTCTTTCATGCCTCAGCTGGAAATGGCTTGACTCCCCATTTTTGTTTTCTTCAAAGAACAAGTTTAGTTGTCTGCTGGAGATGTGCAAGAATAGTGCTGCACTCTGGTATATGGCCACCACATAGCCAGAGGTGCATCATCCACAGAGCCAGAGAGATGAAGAGAAGCAATAGGAAGGAGCCCATGTCTGGAGACGCTGAGAAGGGAAAGAAAAGACTGGGTTCTAGTTCATACACCCAAAGCTGTTCGTGAATTTTATTCAGTGTAATCACAGAATCACAGAATACGCTGAGTTGGAAGGGGTATACAAGGATCATTGACTCCAACTCCTGGCCCTTCTCAGGACAGCCCCAAGAATCACACCATGTGCCTTAGAGCATTTTCCAAATGCTTCTTGAACTCTGTCAGGCTTGGTGCTGTGACCACTTCCCTGGCAAGCCTGTTCCAGCGCCCAATCACCCTCTGGGTGAAAAACCTTTTCCTAATATCCAACCTAAACCTCCCCTGACACAACTTCAGGCCATTCTCTCAGGTCCCGTCACTGGTCACCAGAAAGAAGAGATCAGTGCCTGCCCCTCCTCTTCCTCTCACAAGGAAGTTATAGACTGCAATGAGGTGTCCCCTCAGTCTGCTCTTCTCCAGGCTGAACAGACCAAGTGACCGCAGCTGCTACTCATACGGCTTCCCCTCTATGCCTAAGACGTCATGAGAATGGAGAAAGGGATCAGAACACAGGGTGTTACACCACATTATTTGAGCAGAGTACATTTACTTTTGCTGCACTTTTTTTCACAACTAGCTGTGAAATTTGCACCCAAGGCACCCCAAGGACATCCTTGGGCACCAACTTTGGCCCATACCTAATGGACTGTGGCTTAGGTGAAGTTTTGAAGGTTTGTTACCATCCTGTTTGCCTTATGATTTTTGAAGCTAATGGTCCTCATTTCTCTTTAGGATTCAGGAGCCCTTCCTTCAGCAGAACCCTGGTGAATTTATCTTGAGTTTAAAATATCCAGAACCAGTAATACAAGATAATATTTTTAGAGAAGCACAATTGATCCATTTCTCATATTTAAAGGAGTCAGCAGTCAGTCAAATAGCAACACATATGTCAATATTCATGCTGAAGAAAATCAAACAATACTATAGATTTTTAAAATATGTATCCTTACTTCTATATTAGATAAATAAACTAAACTGTTCCCCATTTAATTTTCCAAATTTGCATAGCACACCAGGCAAGTGCAATGGAACTGTACAAATGGAAAACGTGGACGATGATCAGTATTTTGTTTAATAATGTCTAGATGCCACATGCTGGTGTAGAATGAGGCTGGCAATTAAAACTTGTGATACCTGCCGAGTTCTTGAATTTTACAGAGGAATTATGAGCAGTGTTAATGTATAAAAGACATTACTCAATCAGATGATGTGGAATTAAATAAATACAGTATCCTCTGCTGAGGTTATTTTAGGGATATCTGTTTAGCCTGCTGGGTTTTTTTATTACAGATTGTGCTGTGCTGTGAGGACACCCTTAGTGTATCTTTATTAGCCTTTATTTCTTTCTTTATTTATGTACTTCTTTATGTAACCTATAAGTACACTCAGTGCAGAAATAACAGTGCCATACAGCTTTCTGCTATAGAACACGATTTTTTAGCATATGACACTGTCCTGAAATCACCTAACAGCAACTGATTACTTTTAGATATGTTTTCAGCAACACATTTTAAAGAACTCTTGCAGGTTACTTTAAACTGTAAGGAATCACTGTGGCAGGTCAGCAAATTACTAGTGGTATTTCCTGGATGAAAGGTGTTAGATGGAAAGTATGCGCTTCTATGAAACCATGAATAAAGTTTGTGTCTTGGTTCCCACACTCCTTTATTTGCAAACACATGCCCGTAGACAGAGAATTAGGAAATCTGCAGGTAGTGCTTCTCTTCCACAAGTGCTGGCACCCTTCTCTGCTGCTGACTTTTAGGCACAAAAAATGACTCAGTCAAGTCAGTGTGAACTTGGTCTGAACACTACATCCTATGAAAT